ACCTGCATCATGTGTCGCGCACGCAATGTTTCATACGAAAAAAAATACTAATTTAGACCCGCGCGACGACGACTTGTAAATTGCCACAATAATAGTAAATCGTTCGAGCTTTAGTTTGAATGTAATACCAGTATTACTTGGTATTACATTTCCTGCGCGTCTCAATGTCTCGTGCTTATTTTTTTTATTATTACAACTCTCATCGTAATGATTCTCGGCGTTGCTTGGCACATAATTGGTAGCAATAAACCATGCACAGCGACGCTACATTGTGCCATCGTATTCTTATCGTTTGACGATTTTGCAGCTGTAAGTTCGCGAATCAATCGCATTATCAGTCAAATTACGCTCCTCGCGCATCGCGTCTGCTGCGAAATATGCCTCGCTTATTGCCAATAATCGCTTATAATAAACGAGGCAATTGCCGCAATACAAGCCCAGGTACGCATACACATGCGACATGCGACTGTATTATACGAGCTTTCAACGAAATGGCTGCGAGCACGAGCCAGGCGTGATTTATCGACAAAAAAAATTTTTAAGCTTATTTATGGAAGAACAACTGTTGATAATAATCCCCCCGCGTCTCGCCCGGCATTGTTATTCCGGCCGGCGACGATCGATTTAAATAAAAAAAAATCGCAATCGCAAAGATACATTGTCGTTATCTTCTAACAACTTAATTTTCATTATCTATTGCGTATTTGTAATCTGCAGCTAGCACAATTTCCTAATCATTAATAAAACATTTTATCGTACGAATAATTCACAAACACAGTGTATCACCGATGTTGCTTGCGTTTATACATACCTCCGAACCGAGGATCTCGAGCACACTTCGTTAAGAGTCTCTAACCTCGGATTCGTCGCTGTAAGTTTTTTTTTCATTTCAACCCGTTGGTTGCCAAAATCAATTCGACGACAAAAAGACGCGAGTGTACGGCAAAGGAGTGATTGGAAAAGTGGCTGTATGTTTTTCATTGGAATCGGTTATGTGTGCTTCAAAAGCTTCTGTATTGCAGGAATTTTTTAAAAGTGTCTACTTGTGGGTATCGATGTACATCATCTTTTGAACCACAAAAATGTCGAAAAAATCGTGCTATAAAAGTTATGAGCTTCTATAATTACTGTGTTGCTTATGTTGCTTGTGCGGTGTAAGATTGTGGAATTTTAAACTGTATGTCAGCTGTTACAGTGTTTGAATTTATCAAGAGAGTATTTCATCATTTTGAGTTTAAAATTATATGAAATGCTCCAATATTTCAATGTACATAAAGTCAGCGAGTAGTTGGTTGGGTTAACATACAATAAAATTTTCAACTAATATTGAAATTTTAAAAATTTCAGTGAGTACTTAGATTATTCTAAGATGCGTGTTAGGATCAAGTTATAAGCTTTAGGGTTCATTGAAATTCGTGTAAACACAATATGGTGTTATAACGTTTGAAGGAGCAAGAAAAGTATTAGACGTGAGTTTTCAGTCTTCAATTTCAAATTCAACTACCTGTGCTTATTGAAAATAAATTTCAAATGAAAAAATCGCTTTACCACCTCATTTCACGGATGCTTTTATATTTTAATTCGCGCTTTCATTCGGCAACGACGAGACACATTAAAGTTACCTTACAGCTGTGTTTTCGAGACAATTTTTAGTGTGAGTTTAAGCGCTCGAACGATAAATTAAACAATCGGATTTTCGCCATTGGATTAAAGTCGGGAGTCACGCCCGGGTAATACCAATTGTGCTGCAAAATCGAAGAAAATGTAACCGAGCATCGGCAATTAAAAATAAACTATGCTTATAATTAATGGAGCCGAAGTAAAGAGCGATCGCAAGCAGAGTCAACCTCATAAAAAAGTCTCCAACGCACCACCTGATTACAAAATACCCGAGCTAACAAATCATTAAGTGTAAATGAGCGCGCGCGCCAGCGAGCCCGAGCGTCGGTGTCTGCGAACAATATACATGTATCATACATGTGCGACTTGTACGTACGAGTGCTACTCATGATTCGTGTATACGTTAAACGCTTTGAAACGACTAGAAAATACCTTTACTTAGAGCAAATAATAGCGTGAATTTGTAGATGTATCATTATTCTGTGTATATTATTCCGAGATAAAAACCGGCAGAAAATCATATACAGACAACATGACCTTATCAGTACGAATACGTTATAAAAAATGAAAAATTGCGACTCACCTATTAATATTTGTACAGGTTGCCGAAAAGAAAACGCTCGGATCGGTATATATTTTTCGGGCGAAAATTTGCGTGATAAGAGACGTTGGTTGAATCGGCTCGATCGATTACGGCGAATTCAGATGCTGGCTCGATTTTTTTCCTTCGTGGGCCGAATAATCCGCTACCGTACAACACACATACACACGTGCACTGTTTTCGCGAGACGACGGCTTTGCTGCTGCTGCTGCTGCTTCTGCTGCTGCTGGTGCAAAAGTTGTGCTCCCTCGCTGTGCGGGATACTTGACACAGGTGCAAGCGTCAAGCTGCAAAATGTATAATATACCACACGCAGTCGACGATAGTCTATGGAGCTAACACACCCACGCCGTCTAGCAGTAACATCTCGAAACGGCACGAGTGTGAAATGTACATCGACGTATCATGCGACACTCGCTCGATTCGCCGCTGCTTCACACTAATGCCTCGATCTATACAATGTTTATGACAAAGTCTACTCACATTTTTATAAATTCGCTTTCCTTTTAATTTTTTTCAGGTTTTTTTTCAGAAACGTAGGAAGAGCGTGTAATACCGTATAAAAAATAAAAACTAAATAGTTTTGCCAATAAATTAATAAAATCCTTATATCATTAAAGAAGACAAGATAAAATGTCATATAACAAAGTTTAGCATTTAAGCTGCTTTAAAAAGCTTGTTGTTTTAATTCATTAATAAAAAAATTAAAAAATAATGTCGTATAAATAATCAATTGAAAAGAAAACGATACTTGTATTTTTATTTAACGCTAAAATAAAAATATTTATTGAAAAAAATCGTGCCTTGTATTTATTCACGCGATATTTGAAATTTTGTGAATGTGATTATGGGCAACTAGTCATAAATTTTATTAAAAATTTTCTCATTATTGCCTTTTTTTCAAATTAAGTTATAAACATCCCAGGGAAGTACTTTTCAAAATTTCAATATTTAATAGTAATAATCAAGCAAACCCCCAATGGAAAATGCTTGAATAGTGCTTGAAATGTAAACTTCCACTAAGACAATTTAATGATTATTTAAATGTTTTTTGAGAATGCTACACGTTAAATTGGGATCATTAAGTAGATTCGTCATGGCAGCTCTAAATAAAAATTCTAAACTTACTCTCGAATCTTCGAAATTTTCACTTTGGATCATTAAGTTAGATCTTGATAAAACCGTAAAATGGAAAAATGAAAGATGTCGGCAAGTTTTTTGGTCTCGTTTCATGTAGATAGATCTTCTTGTGGCTTTGCTCTTCGTGCATTTTCCATTTCACCGCTATCTTGCAACACTTCCTATTATACGACGCTGAGTTTTAGTTATCGCAAGCGAGGGTGTCGTCATGGCTCTAGAGCACACATTGAAAAAAATCCTCGGCAAGATAAGAATCAACTGCGCACAGGTGAGATTATAAGCATGGTTCAGAGTATTTACGAAAATAAAAAAAAGGGAACGGAAAATAGCACTGTACTTTTAAGAGGTGTTAAAGAGCTTCCCGCTCGGCTTTTTTTGTCAATTCATGCGTAAGTTTCAAATGTTCAGTTTATAGGCGATATCTTATTTTAACAATTATATAACAGTAAATAAACAGAAAATATATGTGTGTATACACGCACATTTAAGACAAAATTATCGCGGAGCTCTATCATCTTATCGTACATTCGAAAAATATACAAACCCACTGTGTTTCGCTGCGTGGTTCAGACAGTTCGTTGACTTTCCGCTATATAGAAGCATATCCTGTAAAGTTACAGTTACAGAGTTGAATTCGTCCATTGTGTGTTTTTTGACTTGTGTTAGGATATGTGAGTAATGCAGAGAAGATTGAAAGAACATCTCGTTGATTCATATTTGCTACATCGTTCAGAATTTCATCTAACACTACTCTCGTGAAACATTGGATAATTTAAATTACTTGAATAGTACGGAAATGACGTGTAATCTTTCTCATCAAATATTTTGAATGTTAACTATTATTTGCATATTGTTTTGTCCAAACTGCCACTGTGATTTGATCCATGGACCATCCCAATATTCATCCAACCTTCCGGTCTTTAATTTTCACACTTTGTTAAGTTGAGCTTGTAAACAAGTTCATTCACTTCTGGAGCTTCCGCATACAATTATGATGAAACTTAGCTAATATCGGTATTATACTATCTGTATTATACTGCTAATATACTTTCAACCCTTTAATTACGCTTTGTGAAGTATTTTAATTTAGTATGTTAACATTTTTTTGGCGTTTATAACGAGAATAATGATGTAATAATATGAAACTGACAATACATTTAAAACAAATTCTTTTTTACATGATAAAAATGTTTGTACAAATACTCCGAATCCATGGTAAGAAAGATAATTTTCGAAAAGTTTTATTGAGGTGTGTTTCAAAAACTTGTTTAAAAACTACGTACACATCTTTGAAAAATTATTGAAAAAGTTTTTAATAAGTCTATGTCTTTTTTAGTTAATTTTTAATTTTATAGCTGAATGATATGAGCTTTAACATTATGTTAACGAGAAATTTTTCAAAATTTGAAGACTAATGACATAACGATTTGACAAAAATCAAGTTTTAATATAACCACGTGATGTCCAATTTTCCTCCAAATTCCAGATTAGTCACCCACTGATGAGACATTTATTTCCATAAGCTGACTTTCTTTGAGTGCATTGCACTTAAAAATACTATGTTATATTCAAACATTAATTACAGCAATTACAGTAATGTCTTTGCAATGTAAATAGAATTAAAAACAACGATAAAATATATATTTTTTAATTTTGTTTATTTTGATGTTTTCTTTAATAGATCTTGTTGAAAAATAATAGTACGTTATGGTGAGAATTACGTGCTAATGAGACATAAACAACTTTCACTTATCCCCTTACTCGTTTTAATCATTACAAGATTTGTAATTAATGTACATATGAGAATAAGTTCTTTTATACGAGGCTTTTTTGTAACATTTTTAGTTATTGCATTGTTTAATTGACCATATAATATGATAAAATATAAATCTGATAATAAAAAGAAAGATTAATTTTTACTATTCAGAATGTTTATTACACAATAAAAACAATTCAATAACTTGCAATATAATAACATTTTGTATTTAAAAAAGAAGTCATTTTCTACCTATTATAATTCCCTCACAATTTTTTTAAATTTTCCAATAAGGTTCTTTTTCATTTTTAATTTAAAAAGAAAAAGCTGCAAATTGATAGAATTTGATTCATCAGTTTGCATTATTTTTACGTTCACTAATTATAAGTTGTTTCATTCTCTGTTCAAAAAATGCGCAAATACCGCGAACAGTAAGTCTTACATGCATCATTGCTAAATAAATACTAACATTTCCAATTAAATTTTCACTAACAACAAAATATATAATAATGTAAATTTGATAAATTCATATCAAGATGGTTTATCGAATCTATTTATAACTGTAACTTTTTATATGTATTTTAAGTAATAAATACATAATGGAAAATTTTGCTACAAGCTAATTTTTCACCAGAATTTCTATTACTTACTTATATAATAATAATTTTTTTTATTATGAAAACTGTACAACTTAAAACTAAAAATGATTCTCGCTCTATTAGCAATCAAATGGGTCTACAATTTTAATAGTAAAAAAAAAATGAATATTTGTAACTGATTTTTATAATCTACTCCTAATATTTAAAAATATTTACATATGTAACTAATTACAAGGAAGATCACTAATCACTAATTAAGCTGTTACTAGGACGGGTGATCGTGTTGGGCCTGGAGGCGACGGGCATTCGATCTTAGGCGAGTGGTGATTGTGACTTTCGCTCAGAATGTGACCTTGTTGTTGTTGGTGTTGCTGATGCTGATGATGGTGATGATGAGGCGAGTGTTGCTGCTGCTGCTGCTGTTGAGGCTGGTGTTGTGCGTTCACATCGTAGTAAATGTTGGACATGCTGTATAAACCTGGGTTATATGTCGTTTGTGGGACTAAACGCATGTCGCTGTAGTTTTCTAAAAATAGAAAATGAAAAATTAAGTTTCAGATCACCCTCTAAATTTGTCGAGTTGGCTCAGTAAAAAACCATTAAATGGATTAATAACTTACCAGGATCCATCTTGATATGAGTGTTATTGTTATTGCTGCTGATAGTATTGTTGTTATGATTGACACAAGGTGCAGGTCCTGATATTGGCGTGTCTGTCAATTTCATATTTTTCGGTTTACGTTTGCGCGTCTGAATGGAGTCCTTCTTCATCGTCAAAGGTCTATTAATGTTGTGCAGTTTGAAATAAAGTCCGCAAGCGTTGCAAACTGAATCCCCCTGGGCGTTGCGTCGCCACAACGATGTTGTCTTTGTCGCGCAGTTGCTGCACGATAGTCCAGAGCGTCTAGCTGCCGTCTTTAAAAAAAATGTGTCTATTAGTTGTCAAGTTTAATGTTTCTAAATAAATAAGCTGAGTATATGCTGAAAGCTGAACAAATACTACTGTAAATGATTCAAATGCACCAATATCGAAAGATCTACTTAGCAAAAATACAAGAGAACTCAATCATTGGCTTGATAATTTTAAACATCTTTTAAAATGAATATTTATCTGGAATTTTAAACAAATGCACGTACTATACTAATATTCTGATATTACCATTTTTAATATATTTATGTATTTCGTACTTTTGTAAACAATTCATTCCATAATAATCAATTTTGTACTCGCAATCGACTATCAATTTTTCATTGCAACAAATATTTAAAACATTCGAGCTAGAACAATTTTTTTATAGATCACAGTGCAATTGAATGATATTAATTTGTGTATTACAGTAGATAAGTGTATGCATGCATATTATATGAAAAATAAAAAAAAATAAGTAAAAAAATTAATGAAATAAAAATGCATGAATGGGTATGTGACACCTACCAAGCGACGATTATTTGATTTCTCTTCTCGAAGGTTGGGAGTACTACTAAACGTATTCCCATAGAAGCCTTTGCAGATTTCGCCCTGGTCCGCCACTGAAACAGACATTAGGCCAAACGTTAGGGCGAGTCAACATCATCGTCGTTAGAAAAGAAAACAGTTTTTTTTTTAAGTTTCCACAATTGACTAATACATTAAGCGCGCATCTTTCGCACATTCGATGATGATGCGAATCTTTAAACATTTGTTTCACTTGCGGGTGGCCATTGGCGAAGGGTTTTTTTAGCAATTCGGCCAAGGGCGAAAATCCACAGAGGCTCCTGGTTGTAACTAGTAAATGATGTACACTAGGTTAACAGGTTGCCATTTCACAGGCGTTACTCGATCAATTTTTCGTATTTATACACCGGTTACTCAAGTTACGTACTACATGTTGTGCATTCATTAAATGTAAACGAACAATAATTTGAATTAAATACTCGACAATTTTATCAATTTCTCGGATGAATTTACACTAATGTTTAAATTGCAAGCAATCAATTCAAAATTTATCGAATGAACACTAAGTACGATAAAAATAAATTAACCCCGTTGATGTAATTTTTCTTTGTAAAAGCAGTATAAATGTGTGTATTGAAGCAAAAATGATAATATTGAAGTAATGAAAAACAAAAAAAAATTAATTAATGAATCGATACTAGAAGCTCGAACGAAGTATCTGCTTTTTTTTGTTTACTCTCTTATGTACATTCCAGTAGATCTTTTCAATTCGGTTAAAAAGCTCTCTTATTTTTTACCAGGATTGGATGATCGCTCCCTGCTTACCATTCGCCGTGATTGCTTAACCAATGGCCGATTCATGCCGTTCATCTTGTGGTAAAGGCCGCAAGCATTGCAGAGATAATGGCCGGTGCCGTCTCTTCGCCAAAGCGGAGTATGAACCGCTCCGCAATTTACGCACTCACGGCCCTCCGTAAAGTACTCAGCATCGATGTTGTGCACTAATTTATTGTTCATCGTCATTTTTTTTTTTTTCATATTTAATGTCAATATAGGTGGAAATTAGCATGCACTAAGCGATGCCATCGAGCGAATGACATCGACTTGAAAAATAGGTCAAATTTTTTTAGTGTGTAACTTCGATTGAGTACTTTGTGCAGTGTATAAATTGTATTCGACTTTGTTTTTTGGCTCGTGTAAAAAGATATACGCCATGGACATATTTCACAATCATTTACTCATGCCGAAATTAAACGAGCGCGAAAGTAGTTTCCTGGCACGCTATAATATGGTTGTATTCGTACGCTTTGAGGCGGATCTTGATGTATATTTTGAAGAAAACGTAATTAATACGCTAAAATAATTTCGTAACGAAGTGATAAGCGTTCTCCTCGTAATTATCTATTAAAATTTTTTATCAACGACGTTTTTAATGAAAAATGCGAATTTTTTTTCCGAGCGCGGTAGCCAACACGCAGATTCATTAAAAATATGATGTGTTTGCAAATCAAGGATGAAAAATTGCAGCAGCTGCGGAGCGTCAACGGAAGAGGACCTCTCTCGTTTTCAATAAAATAGTAAAACGTAGCAGCAGCGCGACGAGAAAGGAGGAAGAGGACATGGGCGTTATCGTCCGAGCCTTTCCGGTGATAAGTACAAAACATGTTTGTATTATGCAGTCGCGAAACCCCCGCGACTCGTCGACCTACAGTGTATGTACGCGTACCGAGTGCCATTTGTACACGCGCGCACATTTGCTCGTCCGCAATTACGATGCAAGCTGCGTCGTTTTTTCCTTTACTTGTTTTTTTTTATGTTTTACTTTCCAACTTTTTCCAGCCGCGCATACGAATTTGAGATTAATGCGATTTTTGCAATGGCTCGGTATCTCTGCGCAACGCGCAATAATAGTTCAACGACTCTTCGCGCGTTGTTTTTTTAATTCTCATATTAAATACAGAGAAAGGCGCCAAACTAAGCGAAATCAGAAGAAGCGCAATTACAGCCGAGGAGAGAGCGGGAGAGAAAGAGAGAGAGAAAGAGAAAGAGATGATATGTGACTAGGCATACCGTCATCTAAAGTTACCTCTAGGCGTCTCCGTATTCGCGGCCCGATCGAATATCCTTTTAGCGAGAAGGGCTGGGATCGCACTCCACTCTCCCGCGCACATTACACACACAGACGTTAATATATACGTATTATATTGACTCGAGCCCTACATGAATGCATATGGTGACGATCGCGTTACCTCGTGCCGACGGGGTGGCGCGACGGCTTTTCTTTTCTGCCAATCGGCGCGCACGATACACTCGATCACTTGCTGATGCCGCAATTGTCAACTGTCGCGTCGTACTTTTTCATAAGTAAAGTTGCGCTCAACAAAATAATTCAGTTACTTAGCATCAACGAGTTTCTTTCAAGTGTCGTTGCAGAAGTCGTTATTGTTATGGGCAAATATATGCCTGAAAAAAGGGGCCTTTGACTATTGGACCGACAAATTATTATTCATATAGAAAAAGAAAATATATACTCCATGTTAATAAGAGAAATGAGACAAAAGAACGAAAAACGTAAAAAAAGCTCGATCGTTCTCACGAGTGAATTCTCGAAAAATTGAAAAGTTTCAAAATTCTTCAGTGGATACATATTCGGTCAAGCGGACTATCTATAAATTTTATAAAAGAAAACTACCATAGTTTGAGCTTGTAAAATATTGTCCAGCGAAAATATAGTCATTTTTACAAGAGGATTTGCCTAAATGTACACAAGTAACCAGACTCACGATAAAAATAATTCCGACACGTATCATGACATATTATTTGCGTGGAAGTGTAACTACGGTACACGCGCACGATAGTCGACTTTATCGCAACAGACATTGCCGGTCAACGACGGGGCGTACTTTATCGTTCAAAGTTCAATTTTAACATCTTTATTAACGGCTCACGAAGCGAGTCAACGAAAAAAATAATTTTACACTCAACGCGCAAACTATGTTTTTTTTCTCCCGAGCTGAGTTGAAAAAATTATTCGTTTTGATTCAACCGAGACGATCGAAAACTATAACTCGCGCATACATACAAGACCAAATCTTTTTAACAGATTATAGAGGCTTATCGAAATAATTTGACGCCTTTGTACATAGACACGGTAGCAAGCGATATTATCGACTCATTGATCCGTGTCAAGAGTCGTAAGCGACGATTTGGACAGCTAAAAAAAGCCATGTTATCTATGATACACAAGTAATAGTGATTAGATAGGAATAAGGTTGCATATATCTCTTTCTCCGGGGACAATCTACGGCTGCTGCGCTGCCCGTACACACCTACGTCGCTTGAGGCTTCCTAGGGTCAAGGTCTTACGCACACTCTACAAAGCCTAATCAAACTACATTTTGTAATTTTTATTTCTGCAATTGCAATTGCAAATCTATCGATTATCGTTGGCGCGCTCATGGGAGGGAAGCTCTTCGATGTCGAAAGAAAATAATTGCGATTCGAGATAATACGCGCACGAGTTCATTGGCACGCAACAAGTTGTTGTTCAGATGCGAATGAAAGATTGGTCTTTTTTTTTTAATAATTGCGAAACTACGAAAGAACTGGGCAGCAAAAAAGTATCGATTAACTAGATTTTGAAATTATTGAATTTATTCTTTTATTTTTTTTTCTCAAAGATATTAAAGTAGTCCAAATAATTATGACGTATGCAGCCATTATCTACGACGCATGTGATTTTATGGAATTGCTATAGAGTTTATCGCTAGGATCGGTTGAGTTGATGTCACATTCAGAAATGACCGAATTCACAGTCTAGAAAAACTATCAACTATTCGAGATAATCATTCAAAGGTTACGGTAGACTATACGATGGAAGCAGATTCTGTTCTTCGGGGCCGGGAGACCAATGAATCGCACGCATATAAACAGAGTCTTGAGAGAAGTCCGAAGGCAAGCTCGAGATTTTTGCTGACCCGTAACAGTCATTTGATAATGTCATGGTCTTCAGGCCTGGCGCGAGGGAGATAACGCGTTCGACTGATACACGCAAACGCGCAGACGCGAAATTCGTAAGCAAACTTATTTTCTCGATCTAAGAAACTTCACTTGAATATATCCAGCATCCATGCTGCATACAAGATCCACATCGAAGTAATCTAATTTTAGAATGCATAAACTCATAAAAATATGACGCGCTTCTATAATAAGAATTTATAGATATTATTTTTCAAATTGAAGTTTTCTTTCCAATCGAAAATATCCAAGTGCAGGATCAATAACGACGTACTTCAATCGTACGAGATTTGAAGTAAACGATTTGTGAGCGAGGGAAGTTACATGAAGAAAAAACACATGTCATACTCTCGAAATGAAGAGCAAAGTGCAGAGCTCACTTGTCGAAGACCAAGTTAGAACGACGTTAAATAACATGATACATGTACGGGACCGCGAGCACAGCTATTATAGAGTCCAGCTGTTTTTTTTTTGTACGTAGTTTTTTTTCATTCCGTCGATTTTGGGTCTGGAAAGTGGTTGATGCGTTTTACACGCCCACCGATCATTTGACACTTTCCACGCAGCACACTTACAAGGCCGCAGCCTGTATGGCGCGCGAATTGCGAGCGCGTATGGCTTGCGTATAAACGATCGTCGCTGTGCTGTATACTCGTATAAAAATACACGTTGTGTGTTATAGCGTCGAATTGAAAGAAAGCATGTGACGCGTTTTCACGCAGGGGCGGTGAGCTCGCGGGATTAAGTCGTTGTGCATCGTCAATTTACATATAAAATGCGCGTCGGTATGAGACACTCATGAGTAATGATTGTTGTGGCTTGCGCGCGACCAATAAACAATGAAATTCTCCTTAAAAGATTTCGTGATTTTTTCCAGAATTATAAGCCTCTTGGGATAAGAGCGATGTCACTCGTGTGCATATGTCCGTGTATGTGTGTGTGTTTGTATGTGTGCAAATGCACTCGATTACACGCGCGCACGTATCTGCCGTGCGTGAAAATATGCATGCATTTACGAGGCAAATATTGTGTCCAGTTATTTTCCAAAGACGACTCTCTTGCGCTTTTTATCTGAATATTTGATTCGCAAGTTGTTGCCTAACTCGAGAGTAGGAGAAATAAAAAAGAGAAAGAGAGAGAGAGAAGAAATCAACAGCAAGACGACGATCCGAACAGAGTGTACAGAGGTCGAAATGCCGCCGAGAGATTTCGGTGAGAGATGAAGATGTATGTAGAGAGAAAGGGACTACTTACTGGCTGAGAGGCTGCTCGACGCGCTCAACTGGTGTTGCGTCGTGGCCGGGTTGGATTGTTGCTGCTGCTGGCTCGACTGCCGCCTGCTCGTCGAGCTGACGATGGCCTCGGACGCGTTGACCGCCGCCACCGTCGTCGAGTACTGCGAGGCCAGACCGGTCTGCTCGAGGGCCGCCGCCGCAGCGACGCTGCTCGCGCTCCCGGCACCGATGTAGCTCGTGTTCGTGCTCCATCCCGCGACGTCGCTCGCCGCCCCCAGGTGGTACGGGGTGTAGCGCGAGAATTTGCCGCCGTAGGGCTGCGAGAAGGCGGGTAACGTCGTCCCGTGGCTACTGACCGGGGCCGTCGTCTTCACGTTGCTGTAATCTTCGCTCGTTATCGAGGGTAGTCCGGCGCTCAGACCTTCAGTGGGCGCGATGAGACGAAATTTTTGTTAGATCAATCAATCACGACCGCGACGATTGGATTTTTCAAGCGATTACAAATGATCAATTAGCACCTACCTTGATTCGACCAAAGCTGTTGCTGGGCTTGAATTTCGTTGTTCATGTACATGCTGTATACTGGCGTAGTAGCCGCGTTACCTACACCTGTCATTCTATACAGCGACGGGCTGGAAAAAATAGAAAATCATCGTGATATTATTGGCTTATTATAATTGAATTAATCATATATATTCGATTAGGGGCGTTTCGTTACAATCGCTCAGTCACTGCGCATATATCTTCGAACTTATAGTATGTATATTTCAACGCACACGGGTCGATGCACTTGGGCAATTTTTTCCCTCGCAAAATATGGAAATTAAAATTTTTCAATATGCACACTCTAGCATTTTCAAAGCGAGCTAGGGTCCTGTTATGGGCGAAACGCAACAAGGAAATGAAGGCGTTCGTTGGAAATGCGGGCGCGACGCGTACTCCGCGTTTTACCGTGCAGTAGAGTACGGCACGCGCCCAAAGACACATGGAACACGACAACTCCATTTGCCGAGTGCAATAGTCGGCTAAACTGAAATGTACTTCATTAATTTTTGTCGTCAACTCGTTTCCCCCGGTACATAAAATTCGTGTGGGCTCCCGCAGACGGCTATTATACATGCGAGAAAATCATTGGTATTACGTATGTTAATTAGCTATATTACATTTATATAGTATGAGTAGCCTTTCTCTGTGTAATCGGAGCTGAGGATCGGAACTCGTGCTAGCTTCGACTAATAGATACTTGTAATCTCATTCAAAAGTGACCACAATAAATCCTATACTGACCACACACTCAATAATTTGACATAATTTAGCCTGCTCGTCAATACAATCGAAAACAGGTTTCGTATTGTGCACCGTATCAAATATCTATCAACGCTCGATGGTACACAAGATCGATGGATATCGCCTCAGCCTCGTGTAATATATACCATACTATGAAAGAATTCCGAGCTGTGAAGAGGTCGCAGAGATTCGATGATCATCTCTACGAGACACAAACAAAGAGTTCCTTCCGGTTATGGCTTGGAACTTGGGAGTGCGCGTGACGAACGACCCACTGTGTTTTGACCACACGCCGCGATACCGTAACCAACGCGCGTTGACATTTCAAAGTTTCAAGCTCTCGACACACGCAGCCTAATACATTCCGCGTGTTCATTTGGTTAGCAAAGTATGTATATAGGCAAAAATAAACACTCGTTACATAAGAGGGAACGTAATGTTAAGTGCGTATACAGCGGTAAAAACGCGTCAACGGCACTTTGGATAAAAAGTTTGAACGAATGAGAAACGAGGAAAGTGAAACAATGATGCAGCGCATGCACCGAGATGCAAGTATCAATTACTCGATTAAAATGAAATGGTGATGCGTCAATACCTTAGACTGTCCATTGGCAATTAGAAACGCGAACTAGGGAACTAGCTCGGGTCGATAAAGAAGGAGTTGCAGTGCGGCACACGGCATGAAGACAGACAACAGGTTGCAGCTGGTGGCTGGCAGTGGCGGCGACTCGAGCCTCGAGCGATTCGCGGAGAAAAATCAAAAAAGGAGCTCTCGGCGGCGTCGTTGCTAGCGAGCTGCTCTCGGGCGCGCGACTGAAAGCTCCCGAGGCGCGAGAAAAGGCGCGAAAAGCCAGATCACGTTCGCTCGCGAGCCGAATACGCATCCCGAGATGTCAATACGGAGCGAGTCAAAGCGCGACGTTTTGCGACCTTGGCACGCTCGCGCGCCTACATACGTGCTCGCGAGTCATTTTTTTGTCGCGAGCCACCGACATGATGCACACATATTGTAGCGAATGTGTGTACGCGCGAACGACGACGACCGCGACCGCGCGAGCACGGGACGATTGTTTTTCTTTTTCTCTTCTTTTCTTTTCTCGCACGAGCGCGGGCACAATAGAATCGAGTCGCCGCTGCGCTGCACCGAGCTATGCTGCTCCTGGCGACTCGCGACTCGGCCAGCACATAATACGCGAAAGGCGGAAGAGTGAAAATTTGACGTCACGCGCAGATGTCACGTTCCGTTCGACGGAGCCGCGCGCGCGCGACGCCGATGGCTAAAAGGAAAATGCAGTGTGCACTCGAGCTGCCGAGTGCGATGCAGGCGGTGCGCACGAGAGGCCCGCGTGTGCATCGACTGTGCATATTATACACACACGAAAAAAAAAAATATTGTCCGCGGCAGCATATTGCGAATCTTCGCACCGCCGTCATTCGATATGTACATCGTTGCACTTACACAAATATATACGAGACTCGTATGGACGTTTTTGGCCAGCGAGACGGTGTAATTACGTTGGCGCGTTAAACAATGATAGTGCATCGGTCGAGAATAATAATTGCGCGAGTCGAATTACGCCGTGACAGGCCAAATTATAATGCACGTTATAATATATTTAGAGAAATACACAAATATACACGTTTCGTACGTATGTATGTATGTGGGGACGAGGAGAGTAGGTCAGGTTCTAATTTCGCGTATACGGCAACCGATCGTGTTTGTTTTGCGCGCAAGTATAATAACGCGACGACGAGTCGCCCGCGAGCTTGTATGTACACACATACACATGAGCTCGTACTCGCGGGTCACGTCATGTTCGACACAGCAGCAGCAGCAGCAGCAATAGTCGCTTACATAGTTGTATGTATTTTCACTCGACGGATGCGACACCGAGTAATAGTGCGCAGAGGCGGAAAAGTGCCTAGTTCGATTCCGACTTGTAGCGCTTTTCGCTGTTAACTCCGGATGCATGAAAAAGTTCCGCTTGGCCGAGCTAGTGCAAGTGCAGATCGCGTCGGGTAGAAAAGCTAGAAGTGCAGTCGCGCTTCCGAATTTCCTCGAGGCTTGTGTACCTTGCGTATAGCTTTGCTCGCGACACAAGAAAAAACTTCCGGCACAAGAGTTTACGACTAAACGAGAAAAAAATAAAAAATATTTAGAGAAAAAGAAAGAAAGAAAGACTTGCCGAATGGGCCTCGTAAAAGTACTTCGTCGAGTAAGTTTTATGTATAATATGGCAGGAGCACTGAACCTTGGCCCAGTTACGCGCGCCGAGGGTCAAATTCTCGAGCCGAGCACGAGCGGGCCATAATATTATAGTTCAGTCGGAATTTACATATTATTGTTGTGCGCTCGCTCTAATGGCTCAAGTGCGTGTACGGCACGTGATCTTTATTTTAACGCACACAAAATATGTCAGCTCTCTAAAGCTAAGACTATGTTTTTATCCTGCTAGAAAATAATATTTTTTGCCCTCTTCAGTATATCCTCGAGTGCTCGATCGGATGATGGACGAGTTCGAAGCAAAGCCCTTGGCTTTAAAGCGCTGCGACAAAGATCGGATTAAAAAAAAACGATACCTTTGACACGCGACTCGCTCCACTATAACAAGTAATCATCGAGCCTCGAGTGGGTGTCAGACTAAATAATTTCTGCCGACTTGTGAGCCGCTCGCCGCTTCGCAATCGATACATATTAAAGCTAATTTACATCCGGTGTAGAAAATCAAAACGTCTCTCCTCGCGTACTTGGGCACGTGCTCGATCGCTACACAATACATATACGTACGCTGTATTATGATGCGTATACTAACTGCTGCTGAGTATGTGAGCGTATGTTTGTCACGGCATTCTTTAGCGAGAAGGAACTCCAAAATACAAAACAAAAATATACTCGACTCGAGAGAAGAAGCCTGGAGCTGATGGAGCGCGTATATATAATAGGCGTATTATAGTACGCGTAATACGGTATCGAGTCACTACGACCAGAGCTTATATATATTATATAAATACATCCGAGACGCGTATATATAGTACTTGTTGCTTCTCATTTTCGACCTGCCTCCAAGAACTTGACTCGTTACGCCTTGTTAAATCTAAGACATTCGAGCGAGCTTTGATTCTTTTTCTTTTTTGCATTTCGTCGCTTTGTTTCGCGCGATCGGCCGATGCATTTGATGAAAAAAAAAAGATGAAATAAAAAATAGAAAAGAAATTGATGGCCATATTTTTTCATGCTTACGTACTGTAGTTCCGTAGGCTAATGAACTTTCTACGGTGTGTATGAGTGTATAATGCGTTATAGACTGTTGTTGCTCTCGTTTGCAATTTTAAACGCTTCGTTTACGTAATAAAAAACATAACGTTTTATGTTATTGTACACTCGAGAGCTAACTCTTGCAGTCTTTGGTCTTGCCTCGCATTGGCCGCTCACTCTGTACGGAGCTATGAGAAAAATTAGAAGAGACAACGGATACCTCGCGTATATATATTATACTAAAACTCGAGCACAGAAACTCCTCACGAGGTTCTTCACATTGACTGACGCGGAATGCATATAATAACGCGTAATACAATACAATATATATAAATTCATTATATTATTTCAGATGAGAGAAAGAGTGAAATGCGTACGGCGACCTTTTCTCTCTCTCTTTCTAATTCCTCGTCTAACCACACGCGGGTATGGAAATAATGAAAAATTTCTCACGATGATGCCTCGCGCGCTTTCGAGCATTGTCTAGCACAATGGGCTCCATTATCTATGGATCGAGTCTTTTTCTGTTATTTTCCTCGGTTTTTTCACTATTTCGTATGTTTGCACGGACGTACGAATGAGTATACACGAATCTAGCCTGATCTATACAGACGTGCGCTGGAGTGATCCAACGCATCTCTCTCTATGTAAGGATTATATTGTCGAGCGTCAAGCAGATAAGAAATTTTGGAGCTGCGCGTGGGTCAATATTTGCCCTTGCGTTCGATGTTGTTTGCTTTTTTCTATCAAAAAATAAGTAGAGAACGAATACGTGTATTCACGAGTCGCGAAGAGTTTCCAAAAACAAACAGACCGGTCCACGATGAATTGATTCGTTCGATGTGCGGCTTAGGAGGATGAGAATGCAATTCCCAGAAGTAGGATAAATAATTCAAAATTTTCACGCGTTATATTGTTTTTAATGACAGAATGAGTGAGCACTGTTCCAATAGTGCCACTCATTCCAAAGACCGAAGCGAAATAAATTTTAAATAAAAATAATTTTTTCTATACTTTCTACTATGAAAAATCGGTTCGATAAAAGAAAATTATACGTAAAAAAGAAAGAAATAAACAAAGAAAAAAAAAGATATGAGAAAAAAACTCACTGTATCCCCGATGACCTATCATCGAATAAAGTCAAGTCGTTGAGCGCTCCCATCCTGTACGAATTGTAGGGCGTATCACAGTAAGCCGACGGCATGGCAATGCAATTATGGATGCAGTTTCGAGTCACCGAACGAGAGAAAGCGCGAACGAGCAAAAATGTGCGTAAATTATATCACGCTGCTGCTGCTGAATGGGCCCCACAGTCGACGCACGCGGTATACTCTGTACGTTATAAACGTTGCGTTGGGTGCGTGTGTGCGTGAGCGCTGCGGTTTATGTGCCACTACTCGTTATCTGTCAGCACCGACGTTCGCAGACGAGCCGAGGAGAACAACTGTGACGACTGCTAAGTGATTCTCCGATACTAAGCTGCTGCGGCTGTGGCTGTGGCTGCTGCTGCTCTCACTCACTCTCGTGAATTTACTACGACGAGCGTACGATAGCATACATAGGAGTAGTAGTAGCAGCAGCACTAAGGCGTTGCAGGATCTCTCCCTCTTGCTCTTCCCTTTCCCCCCTTTTTGTCACTTGGCGCACGGCTAATATTCTCTATCGCTCAGAGTCTCTCTCTCTCTCTCTCGGTTGGCTCACCGAGCTCGCTTACACACATTCACCAATACTACTCTCTTTTTTAAGCTCGAACGCGCGCACGTGCTCCTTACACGCCGGAACTCCTATATATATACGAACATGTTAGAGTCTATTAAACTTACACCGAGGTATATATTATACGATGTGTGTGGAGACACTGCGGTGACTTTGTTGGCTTTACTTGCGTGGAGAATGTGAAATTGAAATTATTAGCCCGAGAGCCACTCAAAAATGTCAGCGGCCTTTTGTTCGTGAATACCATGGATTGATCAAAATTATGACAGCCGAACAATGCGAGTATAATTGGATATTAATTCAAGATTATGTAGCGCGACAATTAAGTACGCTATAGAATGGGTTGGAAAGAGCGAAAGAAAATGTTTCACACGATTTTCCCTAAAATGAACGAGGCTCGATCTTGCGGTCCGTGAAGACGGACCGTTTTGACGCCAGCCATATATAGACGATATTATGCAGATGATTCGCGTTTACTACACATCATTGAAACAAATGCATGTACGAGCCACCGCATGATTAGCGTCGTTAGCGCTAGAATTATGAATCAGATGCAAGTTAACGCTCTTTAGTCGTGACAGATATACTCGCTCTTCTCTCTTTTTTCTTTTTTTTTTTTTTTTTTGCTTCAAACGCTCGTTCGTCATTTTTGAATTCTGAATCACGACCGCGACGAACAAAGCGTGCAACAATGCATGATGTATTGCGAAAGCGCAATACGTATATTTCATACTCCGTTTGAAGCTACTATAATGCTGCTATTGGTTTGACAACGAGAGAAATTGCTCGTTTTTAAATTACACGTGAATTGAACTAGTTTCAACGAACCAAGTACAATATGGTCGTAGTCAACAACTGCTGTCGTTGATGGCTATGCATCGGGAACCAACAGTTGGTGAAGTTTTTGAAGTGATTTACTTATAGTTATAACAAAGAATATTTGGAGTTAAATTCTTCAAGTTGATGAGTTAAATTTAATAAATTAAGCTTATTAAAACGGCACGCGTCGGCAATTGTGGATCTAGCAATTTCCTAGTTCAATTGTTTCGATGACGTGATTTTTTTCTGCTTTTTCATTGAGCTAGGACCAAATGACTCTGCTATATTGGAGCAGCTATATTGGAGCAATGAAGACAGAGTGAGGTGTGATTGACGCCTCAGCCCATCTCTACACATAAGCTCCAGCCGAAGCAGAGTCGGGGCGATGAATGAATCACTGCCATACGTAAATGGAATTAAAATCATCTGTCAAATCGGAAATCTTCTGAGAAAGGCGCCGCCGTGAAGGTGCGCGTGTGTATAAACCTCAAGCTTAAGTATTACAGACTCGAAGCTCATAAACCCCTCGACGAAATACCAAAAAGCCATTTGTTTTCCAACACCAGGATTAATAAAACACAGCGCTGGTTATGTATACACAGGCACGCGGCACGAGCCACAAATGCCATCCGCACTCCAAACACGCACTATATCGATTAGTCTTAAATAATTTCCGAAGGATTTGAAATGGATATAGTCATCGACAATAGTCAATGATCCTATATAGTAGTGGACACTACCGATCGCGATCGTGATCGAGCGCAATTTTGGTCATGGAATGACCCGCGGGTGAGATCATTTCATAATAGCAGACGCGAATCTAGCACGTCACGCACCTGTCGCGAAAATGTCACTCGCGCGTTTACAGTCCCGAGTAATACGGTATATATCATTGTTATATACATACACGAGTCGCACGCGACGACGGGGTCCGATATCTCGAGACACTATCCCGCAATGAAAACACTGCGGCGGCGCGCAGTTATCAGCCGAGCGAAAGTATAATACACACCTTATCGCTCACCGTACCGTATACAGTATACAGCGACGGGGGGCGCCTATGCGCCTGCAGCCCCCGAGCGATTGCACCGATCGACTTTTTCGCTTACACGCATAACATTAAAGATCGTTCAAAGGACTCACCTGGATACGGGCGAGTGCGATGGCGCCGGGCTGGGCAGTGACTCATGGTGTTGCTGCTGCTGCTGTTGCAAGTGTTGCTGCTGTTGAGCAGCCGCTGCCTGGACCTGGTGCATGTAGTCGAGGTAGTACTCGGGGTGTATTCGCTCGTCGGCACCGACCGCGGCGGCGCTGGCACTCAGATGGGCCGCTGCCGGCCCGATGCTCTGCACCGACGTCAAGTGCGTGAAGTTCGGCTGGAAGCGCGTCTGCTGCTGCTGCTGCTCCGGCTGGACCACTGCACCGGGACTGTACGCGTCCGATGAGTACCTGTGCGACGAGTGCGGCGAGGACATCTCCTGTTGCTGCTGCTGTTGCTGCTGTTGCAGTTGATCCTCGGTGTGAGGACTCCGACTCGAGCCGGGGCTGTGGCTCGGGTGCACCGGCGTCGGCGAGACATCGTCCGCTGAACGCAGATGCAAATACGCGGTTTCCTGCTCGTGTTGCTGCTGCTGCTGCTGCTGCGGCTGCTGCTGCTGCTGAGGCTGAGGAGCCGAGTAGAGCATGTACTCGACGTGGCCCCGCATCCTCGTTCTGTCGTCGACCTCGTCGGCTTGTTGCTGCTGCTGCTGCGACTGTGGCTGCTGCAAGTGGTGCTGGCTCTGGAGCGCCTCGTTAGGGTAGCGCATCTGCATCGCGACTGAAGGCATGTAAGCGCTGTTGCTGTTACCGTTGCTGTTGCTTCTGCTGCTGCTGTTGCTGTTGCTCCGGCCTCCGTCGCAGCCAAATCGATTCTGATGATGTCGAGACTGTTTTTCTGATGAGTCCCCCTTCTCTAGGCAACGAGACTCGCTGCTCTCGCGTTTCTCTGAAGTACTAATGCTGCTGCTGCGGCTGTCGTCGCCACTGCTGCTGCTGCTGCGATGCTGATCGTTTTGCTGGTGATGATGGTGGGGGGCGAGGGGCAAGCTCAAAATCACGGAAGCATCGCTCTGTCTCTCTCCGAATGCGTTAAGATTTTCCAGCGCTCGATCGTTTTGCGCTCGCTGATCGTATGATTCTAACTGATGATGATGATGATGATGATGATGATGATGATGATACTGATGATGCTGCAAGCTCGAATGTCGATGATCTTGCAGCTCTTCGATAATTAATCTTTTCGTTTGGCTTTCGTCAGCACCTAATCCCTCATCGACTGTGTAGTACCTGTCGACATCAAAACGATTTTTATGTCTGACACCTTTGATGATCGATTTTTAATTTGATTTAATTAAAACACATTGGATGATCCTTTTTTATTTGATACACATGGGAATTAACACCCCAATGAAAGTTTCATAATAATTAGTATAACAAACATTTTTTCTATTAATAAATAAAAATTACTGTTGGCACAAACATTCGAAACGTTGCAAGATCAAATTGCATACTGCACGCGCAAAGTGGAATCCTGCAACGCTCTATAAATTCGCGCAATCATTCCCATATATAAATTCGAAGTCTGCAAAGCTTACAGCACGACACAGATTTGTTTATAATTCGCGAATTCATAGTATATAAGGCCCTTATCGCGAAAAATGTGTGTTAAAAAGATTATGAGAGCTGTATCTATATTATTCTAGCAATAATCTATTACAAGCACCTAATCGGAAAAACGATAGCGCCCAGTCTGTAGTATCGCGCATCTTGTACACAAAACGTTTTATCGACTGTTTAGGAATTAATTAATTTGTTGTACGCGGATAATCAATTGGCGGATAAGTTAACTCGGCTCGAGGCATTTAAAAAATTATTTTTATCCGGCCATTTCGGCTGGATTTTTTCGCGACTCTCCACGCAGTAGTTACGTTACATCGTATAGTATCGCGGCACTAACACACAACTCAATGATATTCACTCGTGAGGATTATGACATGTTCATGAATGCTCATATGCATGATAAGGTGTACACACAAAACACATAACTGACTTGCGCAGACACTCGCGGACACTCTTGGCAACAAACAAACACTCACCGGTCCTCTAGGGGTCGATTTTGCAGCTCGTTGTAAGTTCGGTAAATTCGATCGTCCGGCTGCTCTGCACTTTCCGACTCGTAAGCTTCGTAAGTCTGATGCTGCTGCTGCTGCTGTTGCTGTGCACCGATGTGCTCCTTTGACTCGGCTATGTCGAACTGTTGTTGGCTGTTGGCTTCGTCGGTAGCAGTTAAAACGCTCACGGCGTTGGCAGCAGCATCGACACCGACAGTAGAAACGGGACTTGCGCCATTTTTTACTGGCTCTCGAGCGAGGCCCGCCCCCTCGTAAGCCACGCCCACGTGTAGAGACGGTGGCGCCGATGCATTGCTCGTTGCCGCGCTGCCGAGCTGCTGCTGCTGCTGTTGTTGCACATCATCTTGGGTTGCAGCTACTGCAACTTCTAGGCCGCCGTTTTCAGCTCCGAAACTGTGTTGCTGCTGTTGCTGTTGTTCCTTATTTTCGCCGAAAATACGTTGTTGTTCTCGTTCGCATCCGGAATCGTCGCTCGACCGCTGATCCACGCCGGCGACGCTGACGGGCGAGTCGTACAACTGATGATACAGATTCATCATTCGATAATTGCCAACTGAAACGAGATCAAATTTATTTACAATGTGTGCAATATTATAATAGCAATATTTTGTAAAAAAAAAAATTACGATCGTGTTTAATACGCCGATTTGAATAACAAAACCCGATAACACATTGTGAGAGATATTTAATATTCATAAAGTTTCTTCGAGTGGTCGATTTCTACAAAAATATATTAATTGGATGCCTCTTATCGTACGTTACACTGCACGAATTGGCCATCAATGTGATAAACATTAGTACATATTACGAACGTGCGGCAATAATTCGTCAGAATAAATGTTTTTTTCATCGTCTAAGCGTCAGTTGGAAACGGAGTCTCCGATCGAGCATATATAAAATATGTGTATATAATGGGGAGCCTTAGCTGGCGACCGACGCCAGCGAGCGACGGACCGACGAACACGATCCCGATCGGGCCAGAGGTTGTAAGTTTATCGCTCTTTCGCCGGCTCGTCGTCACCGCGCGCCGAAACTATATAAATACGTACACTTTCTCTCTTCTCCGACGAAATTCCGGATCATATCGTTGCAAGTTTATATATTGTGCGCGTAATTATATTGTTTTAGCTCGATAGCGCGACACGATATCGCCAATGGACTGACGAAACAACTTTTTTTTAATGAACGTTGATCGATTGGCATAATTGAAAAATATTCAGTGTATATCTAGTACCACAAGGATAGGTGTATTTAGTCGGAGTCAGTCAGATCGTGAATTTATCTTTGTCTTTCTCTCGCACTAAAATGTCTTTTTTTCGCGCCCTAACTACGATATTGCACGATACACATAGCAGAGCACTGTATGATGCCGAGAGATGAATTCAACTATATTGTATATAGGCGATTCTGCACGAGTCCAGCGCGGCCTTGACTAGATTTTTAAAGATTCAATGCCTGCCTTTATCTCTGTACAATATCCTCAAAGATCTCCCTTTTTGAAGCGTATACATACATTCAAATGTAACTTATACACTGGAAAAAATCTTATGGGCTAGTTCAACGAAAGTAGACAGCTGAATCAGAAAAAGGTATTTATTTTGCTGCCACAGCAAAATAATTTTCCAAAATTCAGCAATCAAATATAGCCCAATAATTTTGTTGTGTCAGCAAAATATCTTTTTTTGATCCAGCTGTCTACTTTATTGGACTCGCGCGGATTTTTTTTAGTGTACATCTATCCTTTTTCGTGGTCATTTTTGGCCCGTGTTCTTTCCCAGTCTCAAAAAAGCTTTAATGTCGTAAAAAAAACGTGCTTAAACTTATACCATTATTTTGACTTTGTCACTTGTAGATTGACAGATAAAGGTACTCGCCATCTAGTGGGGAAAATGTTAATGGATATTATTGTATTTGAGAGCTAGTTTGAATTTTTCAAACACTTAAATTTTCATTTTTCATCAATTTTTTGTTTTTAAGTCAATATTAATTTTGAGTATTTTCACTAAGATTAATTTCGGTCAATCGATGGCCTCTGACATCCAAAAACGTCCAACCAAATAACGAGCTCGCGATTGGTTTGTTATTGTAAGGCGACACTTGTACCGCTTTTGACGGTAGCTTATCCTTTCAACTGACATTTTATTATATAATAAACGTGAGCGAAGATAAAAGCCTTAGCTGATATGCTCCAAGCTCGGGAATGGATAGATACGCGTCGTCTACGCATGCCCGCGGTCGAACATAAACACCGTGTAGGCGTTTTTCGAGCCTACGCACCAAGAGGTGAGATAAGCAAGTGTATAATCTGGGCGGCGCGTCTCTGTGAGCTGCTGCTACGCGATCCTTTGAGATGCTGCGCGCGAGGCCTTATCGAGTCAATCAACATTTCATTTTCATTACTTACAGCTCTTTAACTTTTTTTCTTTTATCGAAGGGAGGAGAGAGAAAAACAAAGTCCGTGTACCGGTCGGTCAAAGAGTTGCCAAGCTCGCGGCGGCCGTCCCTTATCGATGCGAAAATAAACAGCTCGAGAAAAGTAAGATGAGCCGCGCACTGGAGTCTCGCTCGAGTCAGTGATAATATGCTCGTTATAAACGCTCCATGTGAGCTCGCGGGCCAGTACGAGGATAAATTGTACGACTTGTATCGAGTGAATCACACATTACACGCATGTATGTATACTTATATTTATTGTAAACGCGCATGTGTATGTATGTGCCGAACAAAAAGAAGCAGTCGACGTCGCGGTGTCAGTGGAAATTTCATGACGTAAGTATATATGGATTTACAATGCAATGCATTGCAAATCGAACGCATGAATGTACTTGTGATCAGCGAGCTTACGCTCCAAAAGGGGAAGAGAGAGGGAAAAGAAGAGACGAGATGTGAGAGAGGGAGAGCGAACATAATAATTCGTTGACCCGACGCGAACTCTGAACCAGTGAGTATGCGCACACTCGCAGACGTCTCCCCAATATTCGATTCGTATATAATATTCAACCGTATGATTTTTTCAATAATATTTTTACATTTATTAATGCAGCTCTTGAAACGAAACTACTCAAACCACAATCACATAATTCTGGCTTGTTTAATAACTGTTACTTTTGGGGCAATTATGACTGTGAGTTGATTTCTCTTTGCTTGGCAAGAGTTCGACTGGTGTGATGACGATTATGAGTTGAATGCTGGTAGCATTGATTGAGTCTTGAAGTCAGACACGCTTTTTCCTGGAATTCTTTTATTCAATAACACCCGACACATTAGTAACCTGAGATTTTTACCTCATTTACCTATTTATTTGTTACCTTATTTTTGACACCTCATAAAATCTCAACCTGCAGGTTACTTTACGACCGATATAAATCTCCTATTAACTCTTCCGCAATTACAATTTGATAGATAAAATGGTTCTAATGAGCTCCCGTGAAAAAAGAAATTACGCGTGTGTCTATTTTGAAGTGTTGGATTTTAATCAATGCTACATAGTTACATTAAAGAAATTATTCAATGAAGTAAACGGATACATAAAAAGAAAATTGAAGCTAAGTGAAGCTCCTTTTTATAAAGTCTACAGTAGCAAGTACGTGGTGTTATAAAAGCTGAAAAAGTGAATTTTGAATGAAATACATTAACACATAAATTTGAAGACCATAGTAGACTACGACTTGTATCAAATACGAATCTATTGTTAACTATGATCATTGGTTTCTAATTTTTTTGTACCCCTCCAACCTAAAGTAACGTTTTGTTGAGTCCCGCGATGTAGTGCCCAACGGCGGTTCCGCGGGGGTTAAACAGGGGCAGAAGGAGAAGTCGATGGGCCTCACAACACTTATATGTTTTTATATATATTTTTGTTTACTACCTTTACCACCTGCTTTACATAAAATATGTAGCCACGGAAAATCCAAAAATGTACTGAAATACATTTGTTTCTAATAAACTGAGCCCATCGCACCATTTAAAAAAAACGTTTTGTTGAGCGCAATGTTAATATTACTTCAGACTAGAGCCCTCACTAAAAACTAAATTTGCTCTTTTGCTGCAAAAAAAAATCTCAAAGTTGGTGAACATTATTTTTACTCTGAGGCTTTTGAATTCAAAATTATACTCCAGGTTCCAAGGCCACATGGCTTATCTCATTAATTGAATTAGATATTATTTTACCTCAATGTAACGAAACTGGTGCAGTATAAAGCGTACACATGCTTGAATAACCCGAGCTCCCGTGCGTTCATTCATTGACTTTTATGAAGCAGGTGCTTTGTTCCTCTATAGACATGCTGTGAAAATTTTACCGCTCGATTTAATCATTTTCTCACGTAAGAGATCATGAAGCCCAAGACAATGTGCAAACGCCCCCGCATCCTCTCTCTCTCTCTCTCCTTTACTGAGGAGGCAATTGATATAAACAAGCTCGGTGTTGTTTTGATGCTGCGCACAACGGCTATATAGCTCATCGTTTTGTGGCCCCGTGTAGTTACGAAAGTGGGCACATTTTAATATTCGGCCTATTAAAACGTCATACTCGTCTCTCGCACAGCCGATGAATGCCGGGCCCGGAACAGCTGCGTATATACTTTGGCCGTCGCTTTAAATATATATGGAAAGCATTGGACTTTACGGATGTTTCTCACGACGTCTCCTAAGACGTTGATAATAAAAAAAAAAAGATGTTGTATACAAGTTCTCAAGGAGCGCGCGATTCTTAATCGATTGTCTTGTATAGTTTTTTAAATTTTCTCACGCGAGCACGTGGGCGCGACTAGGTATACGCGCAGGACGTCCGATCGTATCGCTGGACTGCAGCGAAAGTACTCGAAAGTCAATAAAATCTAAATTTTCATATCTATCGTCAAATGTTTGCACTCGGGGTCATTAGAGGCTCAAAGAAGCCGGGAGCGACTAATTTTGCTCCGCGCCGTGATTTAAATCCCCGATAAAAGTAAGCCCGGTTTCGACTTGGGCTAGATAAAGTTTTTTATCGCGCGTTGAAACGAGAGTTACTCTTTCCGCGCGCTCAGGTCAAAGCAACCTTGCGCCTCGCGCGCGCTGTATGCGTGTATTTGCGTGTACACACCGTATAGAAAGTTTAAAGCCGTGAACTGCTTTTCATCAAAACTGACGCGAGCTAATCAGTCGTATTTTCATTTTTATCTCGTATGCCTTGGCTGTATATATTTATAAAACACTTGTCAGCCACTTGACTCGATTCACATTCAACGTACATTTGTCAATAATAATTGATTTAGTGCGCCACTGTGCTATTATTCAAAGGCGATATGCTTTTGGGTTATCTACCGCAATTTGGCGCTTTCAATCGATCAGGTTGTATATTAAATGATGAATCTGTTGGAGACGCCCTCGCTGCAGCCGCTTCGTACAATGACAAGTGAGAGGCGCACCTCATTAGATACGTATCTCATTTACGTTATATATATGCACATGTGGATAATTTGAGGGCACGAGCGAAGACGCCCCCTTTGTGACCTTTTGACACGTTAGGCGACACGCGTTAAAATAATATTTCTCCCCTTTTCAGTGTTGTAA